TGTATATGTAAATGCATATGCATATGCATATGCATGTGTATATGTAGATGCACATGTACATGTATATGCATATATATGCATATGCATATGTATATACTGATATATATACACACACATATCCATACATATGTGTGTATGTGTGTGCCTGTGTGTGCTTGTGTATGTGTCTGTGTCTGTGTGTGTGTGTATACACATATACTATTGAATTGTCCATCCAACTGCCTACAAAAGCCTGGATGATGAACATTCTTTGTCCTCTTTATATATTTTTAGGCTTCAAAGACCCAAACACTAACTTGCATTTTCTCCTTCCAATATTACATTACTTGAATGGTATCACAACTGTTGCCAAAATGATCATATTTGTAAATAAAATGCTCTAAGCACACTGACTTTTCTTAAATCTTAGGTCAGTACTCTGAATGGTGTACGCTAGCCTCTGGGTGCCTGCTATACCAGGCTTTAGCAGAGTGTCTAATTAATCTACTGGGCTTCTGTTGATCTACTTTAATCCCCTTCAGCAGTGAAGGAAGATGACATGAGCTCTACTGGGTATACCTACTACAGAATTACCATAGTATGAATTTTCCCATGATGAAAACTTCATTGATTTTTACTACAAAAAAGAAGAAATTCTATAGGTGATTTGAAGAGAACTTTACACACATAATAACAGATTGCTAGCATCTTCAGGTTGCTTTGCAGAGTGAGAATATGAATTTCTTCTGCTCTTCACTTTTATTTGCTACCCTATAGATCCCTATTAGGTTCCAGAGGGATGACAGCTTAAAGCAGCGACTAGAGTACTAGAATGGAAGTCAGGAAGACCTGAGTTTGATACCTGCCTCAGACACTTGCTAGCTGTGTGACTCTGGGCATTCACTTATGAGTCTCAGTTTCCTTATCTGTAAAATGGGGAAAATAATAACACCAGTTCATAGGATTATTGGGAGGATACAATAAGATTCTATTTGTAAAAGCTCTTTGAAAATATTGAAAGGCTACATAAATGTTAGCTTTTAATAATAGTAATACATATTCCTGATAAATGTATTATTAATACTATATGCCTGGCACACAGTAAGCATTTAATAAATATTTTATTTATCTATATGTAAAGTACTTCAAAACTTTAAAGCATTATATAAATGTTAGCTATTATTAATATGTAGAAAATACTTTGCATATATATATATATATATATATATATATATATATATGCTACATTTCGGCTGGTATTATTAGTAGCCAACATTTATATAGTACCTTAAGGTTCACAAAGTGCTTAATATATAGTATCCCATTTGAACCATACAATAACCTTGCAAAGTAAGTACCACAGATATCATCATCCTATCATCCCCATTTTACACGTAGGGAAACTGAGGTTCAGAAAAGAGAAGTGACTTGCTCCTGATCACACAGTAAGTGTTGAAGGCCGGATTCAAACCCAGGTTTTCCTGGCTTCAGATCTGGCACTGTGTCTGCCATACCACATTTCTCCTCTGCTATCACCCTGTAACAATTCTCAGATGTTGAAGGCGGTGGAGACAGATTGGTTTGGGGAGGTGGTGAGGCTGCTGAACCCATCATTACATTACCTTTCCATGTGAATAGATGAATGGGCAAGTCGCCAATTAGAGAAATAGAATATAGATAAGATGTAAGCTTAGTGTGTGACTAAAAGGAGAATACTTCTAAATTCGAAAAAGCAAGCAAGCCTAAATGATCCTATCATTCTTTCTAGGGGAACTAGTCCTCCTAAAGGGCCATTCATTTTGAAATTTAAAAAATGAAAAAACATAAGATTGTTTTTCTAAGTGGAAGGAATCGTCAGTCATGTGGAACCAAAGATCCCTAATGTTCAAAGCACTGCACTGAATTTAGCCCAGATGCATTTGCAGGTGTAGTGACCTTCTGCTTATAATGAAGTTATTGTGGAGGGGAAATGAGTTCACTGGAAGATTCCTTCGGCAGTCCCAGTTTCAGATACGCATTTATCGAGACAGGTGAACTTACTGGAAAAGAAAAATAACAAGACAGTGTGTGCTCTGTGTGTTGGGGGCCTCGTGGGCAGTTTCTGCAGCGCTCAAGCACACCCTAACAGGAGGACACTCAGCTTTCTTCATGGAGATCATCTACTCACTGGAGAATGCATGAGGAATGTGGGTGGGGAGAGCTTTCTCAAAATTTCTCCAGCAAATCCCGATAAATAAAGTTGGACATCTTGGAGGATGCTCAGCACACAAAGGCATGGGGGGAGTTCCTGATGTAGGCCTAATGAAAGGGAATGTGGAGCACCGAAATGGGATCATGCTTTGCTTATCGGTCCTCTGCTACGTGCAAGGTTCTGTGCTACACGTTTAGACTACAAAGACAAGACAATCCAGGCCTAGTCCTCAAGGAGCTTACGTCCTATTGAGTGGATACAGATGTAAAATGAACACCACGTACGTACAGAGTAATGGTGTGAGGAAGAGGGCATCGACTTCTTGGGGAGAACCAGGGAAGACTTTGTTATTGGAGGTGACAACTGAGCTAGGCCTTGAAGAAAGCTGAGGAGAGGGGGTGCTTCAGGCATAGAGTGCAAAATCACGGAGGTGGAAATGGGATGTTGTGCACCGTGTAGCTTAGGAGAAGTGACATAACATAAGGTGTCCCCTCCAAAAAAAATTAGTGCAGTTTAAAGTTAGTAAAGCTTAAAATTGCTCTGAGCCTTTTATGGAATCTTATATAATGACAGAGAAAGTAGTGACTAGAATGCTGAATTTGGAGACAGGAAAATCTGTGTTAGAATTCTGTCTCAAGCATTTGTGACCTGTGTGACTCTGTGGGCAAGTCACATAAACTGTCTTGGTCTCATTTTTATCATCTGTAAAATGGGAACAATAATAACCTGTGCATCACAAGGTTGATTAAGGAAACAGCAAGCAATCTGATAGGACTAGAATGGAGTGTGTAAGAAGGGATCATAGATTTTGAGTCCATCCATTTTATAGATTAGGAAACTGAGGCTTGAAGAAACTAAGTGACTTGCCCAAAGTCACACAAGTAATATGTCACAGAGGCAGAATTTAAACCCAGATCCTCTGAATCCCAAACCAGTGCTTTTTCTACCATATCATGCAACCTCTTTAGCAAATAATAATAATACTAGTTAGCACGTATATTTTATATAGCCCCTACTGTGTGGTAGCCCTTGTGCCTTATGCTTTGCAAATATTATCTTAGTTGAACCTCACAACACACCTGGGGGGGGTTGGTGCTATTATCATCCCCATTTCACAGCTGAGAAAACTGAGGCAAACAGAGGTCAAGTGCCTACCCAAGATCACAAAACTGTAAATGTCAGGCTGGCTTTGAACTCGTCTTCTTGACCCTTGATCCAGCACTCTATCCACTGTCCTACCTAGCAATATGAAACAAGACTGGGTGGGATCCAAATTGTGTAGGGCTTTAAATGCTAGACTAGATTAATATTTCCTTCTAGATTTATTTATTGTCACCTATATGATATAGGGCTTGTGCAGGACACTAGATAAGCTAGCTTACCCAGAAATGTTTTTCTTACCCTGAGTAACCATGTACATTTAAGTAAACAAGTGTGAGACATACATTTTCTAACATGACCGGTATATGGATCTGTTTTGCTTGACTATGTTTATTTGTTGCAAGGGAGGTGATTATTATTATTATTTTGTGGAAGGAAGAGTTATAGGTGCTAAGGGTAGGAGTAATGATGATGTCAAAAAAAAGAGGAAAAAAAAAACAATGTTAACGGAACATTTATGAAATACAGAGAAGAGAGTGGAAGGAAGCGAGGAAAGAGACACCTCCAAACAGGGCAGTCATAGAATCACTGTTTTAAATTTATTGTACGCTTAAGAAATCCACGACATACACATCTGTGATTTCATATTCCACTTTGTTTTTCTGTTGTCATTTATATGTGGAAATGATCATGCTGTCTGAGTGCAAAATAAAAAAAATAATTACTTAATTAAAGCAAACACAAATTAGCAAATTAGCAGAGAAAAATGTGAAGGTGGAAGGAGGGCCGCCAGCTCTCCTTGCCTCTCGCCTGTCTTGAAATCACTGTCACTGATCATTCCTTACAGTTCTCAGTGCCAATCATGTAATCAGTACAACTGACCTGATGACTTTTCAGAAAGTAATAACATTTGCTCCCCCTTCACTTGGGGCATAAATTGCAATCTCTTAATTCTCTCTTTCCCCTTGTATACCCCACCCCAGTCATGTGATACACTCGGTAGAAAGCAATGCATTTCTTCAACATCCCATAAATGTCATCATCTTCAATATAGAATCACTCACATTTTAAATTTAATTTTTATTTATTTATTGGAGGCAAATGGGGTTAAGTGACTTGCCCACGGTCACCCACCTAGTAAGTGTCTGAGGCTGGATTTGAACTCGGGTCCTCCTGACTCCAGGAGCTGGTGCTCTAATGCAGTGTGCCACCTAGCAACTCCAGAATCACTCACTTTTAAAGTCACTCTGGTGACTCTCAGTATCTGGCCTAAAAATGTCTTGTGATGATTCCCACAGATGGTTTAGTCAGAGCCTCAATTACCTCTCTGTGCAGGTAATTATTACTTCTGCCATTTAAGTGAGATTTCAGGACATTGCTCATAGAGATGTATTTAAGAGTGTATTTATGTGGTGCTGCTCCTACTCATAGCCTAGATTTAAAATTCCATTCCTGTTGGGGGTATGACTCTGAACTGTCCTTCACTACGAATTTTGCTGATGATAAATAAAATAATGCCATAATCCCATTTTCCCCTTCAGTATCTAATAGACTTAAAAATACCCTCTAATTTGCCTTATGCATGAGAGAACTACATAATTCATGGGAGACTAACAACTGAGTGGGGTTGGAGGAAGCCTCTGCGATGGAGTGTGTTGTAGCACTGGGATGTCAGTGAACCTTGGAGGTTCATTATGGAGCTTAACAAGTGTTGGGGTATCCTTTGCAGCATGCCCTGTCTGACAAGGCCTGCGTGAAAGCTTTTGACCCAAAGACAACTTGCCTGCAGGAATGCCTTATCACCACCTTTCAGGAAGCCTACTTTGTTTCCGAAAGTTTTGAAGAAGCAAAAGAAAAGATGAGGTAAATTTATTTCCTTTCCTGTCTAAAGAAGACAACTTGTCAATTTCTCTCTCTCATTTTTTCTATGCCTCTCTCACTCTCTTTCTCTTTTTCTTTCCATCTTCTGTCCTCTCTTTCTCAATTTCTCTGTCTTTTTTCTTCCCCCTCCCCTTCTCTCTCTTTCTTTCGCTCCCTCCTCTTTCTCCTTTATCTCTTTCTCTCTTCTCTCATTTGCTCTCTCTCTTATCTCCTTCTCTCTTCTATCTCTCTGTTTCTCTTGTCTCTCTCCCCTCTCCCTCCAACTATCTCTCTCTCTTCTATCTCTCTTTCTTTCTCTTTCTCTCTCTTCTCATTCTTTCTTTTCTCTCTTTATCTCTCTTCTTTCTCTCTTTTTCTCTGTCTCCCTTCTCTCTCCTCTCTCCTTCTACTGCCTCTCTTCTACCTCTATTTCTCTTCTCTTTTTTTTCTTCTATCTCTCTCTTCTTTCTTTCTCTCTTCTTTTCTCCCTTCTATCTTTCTTTCTCTTCTTTCTTTTTACCCTTCTTCCCTCTTTCTCTCTCTTTTTTCTCTCTTCTATTTCTCTCTTTTCCTTTCCTATATCTCTCTCCTCTCTCTTCTTTCTCTGTCCCCGTTTTTTCCTCTCTCCTTCTCCCTTTCCTTCTCCTCCCTATCCCACTCTCTTTTTTTAACTAGTGCTAGCTGATTATTTAACATTTCATTATTATTATTTTGCAGAGACTTTGCCAAGTCGATAACTCGCCCCTTCTCTGTGTACTTCAATCCTTACACACAGAGCATTGAAATACTGAAGGATACCAGGAGCATTGAGAATGTGGTCCAGGACCTCCGAAGTGATCTGAATACAGTGTGTGATGCTTTAAATAAGATGAACAAATATTTGGGGATCTGAGGCCTGGGACCAGTTGTTCTGCCAGCCTCATCTTTCCTTCACTCAGTGGCAAATGAATCTGCCTCATATGACGCCATTCCTTCTGTAGTAACCCTCTATGTGCTGAGGCTTGGCTGGTAACTTGCATCATTATATAGCTACCTAATTGCAATTTGCAGAGCAAATAAGATTAGGCTACCGTGTGAAGAATATAATAGCAGACAATCATCATATATGTCGTAAAGAGATTTACAATATCCAAAGACTAGATGGTTGCTTTAATAGACTTACTTTGGTATCCTGAAAGTACGTGCATCTATTTAAATACGACCTGGAGAGGGCACTCCCTCCACTAAGCCAGATCATAAGGCATCTACAAATTGTGACCTTAGATACTTGCTTGAGGCCCAAAGAGGTTACTTGATTTGCTCATGGTTATACAGCTAATAAGTAGAGCTCTGTCCACTGTGTCTTGCTGCTTTTATTCTCATTAAAAATTATAAGAACTCGCTCTCTTTGACTCCATCTCAATGACTCTGTCCTTATTTCCTGTCCTTTTTTTTTTAAATTAGGAAATTCATTATTTTAAATTGCAGCAAAGCTGGATTTTCCCGTCTCTATTTTTTGAGGAAACAAGAATTGCATGACACTGGATCTATGATTGAATTGATATAGGGAACTTCCAGAGGAGGAAACCGCCCCCCCCATTAATGCAGGTTGGCACTTTCTCTGCAATTTATAGTTTTACAGAATGGTCTAGGACACTGAGAGGTTAAGGGACTTGTCCAGGGTCACACAGACAGAATTTCAAAGAAAGGTCTTGAACCCAGGTCACTGTGGCTCTGAGGAGGACTCTTTATAACTGTGCTCTGCCTGCTTCTACATGACAATGCCTATTTCAAACAAAAAAATCCATATCCTATTTTAAAATGTGGTGAATCAATAATGGAACTAGTTTTTTTAAATTGGGGATTTACACAAGAGAATGTCAGAGAGCTTACTTACTACAGTTGAAATATGCAAATAATTTTAACCTTATACATTGAGTTGTGGCCTATATCCCATAGTATTTTATTTTCGAAGATATTTAATTTTTTTATTATTTAGTAGTTTTCGATAGTGTCTGACTCTTTGTGACTCCTTTTTGGGGTTTTCTTGGCAAAAATACTGGGGTGGTATGCCATTTCCTTCTCCAACTCATTATACACAGGAAGAAACTGAGGCAAACAGGGTTAAGCGACTTGACATATAGCTAGTAAGTGTCTGAGTCAAATTTGAACTTGGGTCTTCCTGACTCCAGGCCTGCCCTCTGTCCACTGTGCCACCTAGCTGCTTCATTTAATATTTTAGAAGTATTTAATTTTAGAAGATGATATTTCTGGAGGAGACATTGAAAAACTCTCTGGGTACAAGAGAAAATGTTGGAATTTTGTGGGATATCTTGGGATAAATTTAAGTAACATAATCATTGATTTATTCCAGTTTTTTGGATACTTTCTTGTGGGACTGTCAGAGTGCTCAGTCTGGTCAAGTCAACGAGAATTTGTTAAGTGCCTACTATGTGCTAGGCACTATCTTAAGCCCTAGAGATACAAAGAAAGTGAAGAACAGTCCTTACCTTCAAAGAACTTACCATCTAATGTTGTTTGTGTGTACTTGAGTATATGGGCATAACTCTACAACTACAGGTGGGGAACTGGTAGTCCCCATTAAATAGGGTTTGGTTGATAGTCAAATATTTAACAACCAGCTCTGTGGAAGAAAAAGTATGCATGATACCCTTTTAAGTTTAATCTGCATCATAAACATTTTTTCCATCACTTTCTTAGGACTAGGCAATGAACAAAACATTATCAAGCCTACAACATATCAAGCCCTGATTTATAGTGTTTGCCAATTTTGAAGCATAAGTGAAAATCTGACAATCGGCTTTTGCAAGTCAATTTGATCTGGTTCCAGCATACGCCTGGTCAAAGAGCTTCCAACATTGTAGATTTGCCTCTGTTCACTTACACACATGTGGCCTTCTAGGTTCTCGAGGGGGGCCCTTTGACTGAATCCAAACTGTGAAGTTTGAAGGCCACTTGTGGCCTCGAGGCCGCAGGGCTTTCATTCCTAACTTAGACACAGTATCACAACAATTGAAGTTGTTTAAACTTTGCACAGTTTGGGCTTGGAAACTGTTAGTGATGCAAAAAGACAATGGAAAGGGAGATGAATCTGTGTTCAAATCCCTACCCTATTCCATATAAACATGGATAAGTGACTTAGTCTCTTGAAGTTGTTCCCTCCTTTGCAAAACTGGTGGGGTCACACTGGAAGACAGCTAAAGTTCTTTCCTGTCTCTCAGAATATATGGTCACTAACATGCCTCACAGCCCTAACCCTAAGACCCTATAATCAACAATCAACAAAAAATTTCTTGTGGCTCTCACCATCAGCTGAGCCTTGAATGGGCCTTGAATCAATCTATGAATGAAAGTTTACTGATTGAAAGCGTGATTTCATTTCCCCCTTCCCTTTTCATCCTCTATGTCTTTTTCCATGCTGTTACATGTATGCTTCTAGTATGAAATATGTTAGTAATTGAGAGAAGGTGGGTAAGAGACAGAACAAGACTGAAATGGAATTTATATAGAGCTTTCAAATTTGCAAAGCACCTTTGACCTTTAACAGTAGTCCCTGTAAGGCAAGTGCTACAGGTGGTACCTTTATTTTGTAGATGCTTGCTCATGGTCACACATCTAATCAACATTGGAGGTAAGATTTGTATCCGGATCTCACCTGACTACAAGTTCCGTGTACTTTTCATTTTATCATGCTGCCACCAGAAATGAAAGAAATAACATTTCAAAGAAATCACCATTAAGTAACCTTCAGAGTAGCAGTTTTGAAACTTCAATTTCAACCTTGTCTAAAAGTAAGGTTTTTTTTTCTATAGACATTTGGAAATTATAAATAAAAATTGAGGCCCTTCTCCCAACTTCGAAACCCCAGTGGTCTATGGGAAAATTCTGGTAGACTAAATAGACTTAAGGTGAACAAGAAAGACAATGAAAAAACACCTTGCGGACAGGTCAAAACAAAATGGGAAGCAGATATTTTAACTATTAGTTATATTGACTATCAGGAAGAAGTTTTTGGTCTCTGAAGACTTCTTAAAGTAGCTGAATTTGAGAAGGGATTTGGAGTCAAAAAAGAGTAGGAGCAAAGTTTGTTCGGATGAAGGGAAAAGTCTAAAAAATGATGGGTGAGGGAAAAGAAAAAAGAGTTGTATTTGACTGGAAGAGAAAGGGGAAATACTTGAGTAAGAGAGAATGGAGATCTTGCTTTCCTCAGCAACGGTGCAAGTTCAAGCAAACCAAGTGATCCAGTAATTTGGAGAAGTAGCTATTGAATTTTTCCAAAGAAGGGAACAACTTAGAACCATGAAAACTTGACTTTGGTAATCTCTATTGTTTGCTGTTGTCTCCCAGGTTCTTTGTGCTTTTTCCTCATTAAACACTTACAGGGATACTCAAACATCCCTTTTTTTTTCTAGCATTCTTACTTTTGTAACACTTCAACAGAATTGGAAATCATTGAAGCAGGCCACCACAGGAAAAACAAATTTCAACTGACCATTAGTCAGGTGATTAATCTAAAATGGAACCTTCTGCCTATCAAATGTGTGCAGAAATCTGTTTTGTGTCTTAGAGGGGTTGGACGGCTGGGTGGCTTAGTGGATAGAGGGCTGGGTCTGGAGTCAAGAAAACCTCAGTTCAAATCCAGCCTTAGACACTTACTAGCTGTGTGACCCTGGGCAAGTCACAACACTGTTTGCCTCAGTTTCCTCATATGTAAAATGAGCTGGAGATAGAAATGACGAACCAATCACTCCATTATCTTTAACAAGAAAACTCCAAATGGGGTCACAAAGAGTCAGACACAACTCAACAATAACTTACAGAAAGTAATAGTTGGAGAAAAAATAGGGTTTCTTGAAAATTTGTATGGGGATCAAGGTAGGGTGCTGATGACCCTTGATTTGCTGTACATTTGTTCTGCTCTGTTCACATAGTGGGAGTCATGATATTTCATAGCTGCATAATAAGAGTGCCAAGTTTCAGTTTGAGAGCATTTAATATGCAAATCCCATTTTGGCTAATGTATTGGAAAAGCCAACATTAAATAGCTGTCTTAGGAATAGTGCTAAGACATTCATGACTACTTTCTACACCTATCGTGATGCCTGTTCAATGTAATAATTAGTCATGATTATATTAGAAATAACTTTTGTTAGGAAAAAATAAAGACTCCTGAGGTAGATGAGGCAAGCTCGTTTATCATACGTTCTTGCAAGAAGCGGGTGTGCTGCTAGAGGCAGACACACTCTACAGAAGCGAAAGCAAGCAGTTATATTCCTGTCCTGAAATGCAAGGTCCCTCCCTCTACATACAACATTGTGCCTAAAATTGTGTTAATCCTCCCCTCCCCAGAAGATAATATTCATAGACTCATTAAGCACAGGCAGTTTGAGCATTTTGTGACTTTTGTCCTTCTTTCAGCACTTTTAACCACACTACTAGTTTTGAAAAACAATTCTAAGTAAAACTGCTCCTTTCACACTTGTATTCGACTTTAAGACTACTTCCCCTACATCTGTGGAAACATAATTTCTTATACCTTACAATTATAGTCCATGACCCAAAAGACACACCAATGAGAAGAGGGGAGGGGTGTCTCTACTCAGAGTCAGAGAACCTGAGTGCAGGTGGTACTCTGCTACCTACTACCTGGGTGACCTTGGACAACTCACTACATTTCCATGATTCAATTTCCTTACCTGCTAAAAGAAAGTGGTTGGACAATAGGACTTCCAAGGTCTCTTCCAGCTCTAAATGTATGATCCTATGACATAAAAGTGAGACTAGATCTAAGGATGATTGTAATTCTAAAGAAAGACTGTCATCTTACTTGAAAGCCTTTACCCAGTTTTGACTTAGCTGATTTTTCCTCTATTCAGTCAAAGCACAAAAAAA